CTGTGCCGTTTATCACGGAAACCAGGTCGACTTGGATGTTGCATGTTGCGCTGGGCCGCTAAAGCGGCCCGCGGGGGCTTTCTTTGGGTGTCGTGTGAATCCTCTTTGGTTGAGTTTGGATGGGAGGAAGCAGGGTTGTCGACTGCTCCAGTGAAGTTACATGTAGGGGTAGTTGGTACGATCGCGTCAAGTTGTATCCTTAAATATCTCAGAACAAACCAGTCGTATATCATTGACAACTGCGAAGATTCAGAATAGTCAATTTCGTATGGCGGCCATCTTAAATTCGTCATATCAGAACATTTTCGATTCTGGTAGAACCTGACTAAGATTCTTGACAACTTTTATTTGAGAGCCATGTGCCCATCTACGATACTTGAGCGAACGGCCTCTGTCCCACCTGATGTGGAGCACTATTCCAAGATATCCGGATTTTCTCGTACTCACTGAACCCTTCCAGCCACTATTCCTGTAAATCATTTTAAACTATCGCTGTTCCTTCTGGGAGAACTATTACCTAAATATCTACATCAGTCAGTAGTAATCGAGCTACACACGTATAGTATGTTGCGCGTTGCGCTGGGCCGCTAAAGCGGCCCGCGAGGCCTGTGTCTTAGGCTTGTGACAGTTTGCTGGTTGTAGTGTTTGTTTCAGAAATATATTTTTGTTAACTTTATTTGGTTCTGAGGGAGTCAAGTAGTTGGTATGATCTCGTCAAGTCGTATCCTTACATACTTCAGAAGAAACTACTCATACATCATCAATAATTGCGAAGATTCAGTAAAGAATTTTTTTTATGGCGGCCATCTTGGATTCGCCATTTTGGAAAATTTTTAGTTCCAGTAGAACCTGATCAGGTTCCTTGATAATTTTTGTTTGAAAGCCATACCATCTCTAACGCTTTGGCCGAGCAGGTGGTGTCCTACCTGATGCAGACCACGTCTTGAAAGTTTTGGATTTTTCTGATATTTAATATTCTCAGTCAAACACAATCCTTGTACATTTATTTAACACACCTCGATTCGTTCTAGGAGAACAATGACGTTGGACGGTGGAAAATGTATGGCGGACATGTTTGAATATGAAGAACTACAAACACAATTTCATATTATGGGGCCTCATACGCAGCCAAGTGCCAAATTTCAGCACCATCGGTAAATTTTTTTCGGGCGCCATCTTGAATCGACCATTTTGAAAAAATGAAGTTGACAGTCAATTAGCTCCTATTGCCTTTTCGGACTTAAGTTTAAACATAATTTACCTATCTCTAATAGTTTCAGAGATATAGTCCCCCGAAATTTGTATGGCGGCCATTTTGTTTTGCGAATTTGAATTTTTTTTTTACTCCCGGTAGAAACTGCCCAGGGTGTCGAGCAACATTTGTTTGGAGACCTTAGGGC